TGATGGCCTGTTCAACAAAGCATCCAATAAATAAAAGTGCCATGGATCAAGCGGGAGACTCAAGTTAAACTTCTTCCTACACAAATTATAGAATGGATCCCATTTTACCAATTTAAAAAGGTGAGATATTTAACTAAAGGAGGTTTTGGTAGCATTTATGTTGCCAAATGGAGAAAAGGGCATATATTTGACTATGATGAACATAAAAAAGAATTTATTTATTATGGGTCCCAAGATGTAGTATTAAAACTACTAAATAATTCAAATGAGTTGGGAAAAAATTTTTTTGATGAGGTCAGTAGTGAATTATTTTAAATTAAAAATTTATATTAAACATTATATTAATTGATTTTCATATAATCTTTCAGGCATTAAATTATTGTAAAATTAAATCTGGAATGATTGTTCCCTGCCATGGTATAACTAAATTCCCAGGACGTGGCTATGCAATGGTTCTAACTTATGCTTCAGAGGGAAATTTAAGAGATTATTTGCAAAAAAATCATTCAAATTTAACTTTAAAAGATAGGATTACAATCTTTGATTATTTATGTAGATCATTAGATGATATACATGAAAATGATTTAATACATTGTGATCTGCACAGTGGTAATATTCTAGTAGAAAGTGGTTTCTGTTATATTACAGATTTTGGATTATGCGGACCAGTTGATGATGAATCATCAAACAAAATATATGGAATTATATCATATATTGCACCTGAAATTCTTCGAAGAAAAAGCAAAAATACAAAAGAATCAGATGTATATAGCATTGGAATGTTGATGTGGGAAATATTTTCAGGACATCCACCTTTGATGATAGAGCACATGATCATCATTTAATTATGGAAATTTGTAAAGATTTAAGGCCACCAATTTTATCAAATATGCCAGAAGAATATGCAAAAATGATGCAAAAATGTTGGGATGTTGACCCATCTAAAAGACCAACTATTGATGAACTTAATGGTTTTGCTCATGATTATTTAACAAAAGCCGCCCATAAAATTGAAGATGAAACTATGATTTTTACTACAAGCAATTCAGATTCACAACAAATACAAAAGCCACATCCATTAGCATATCATTCAAGCAGAATATTAGATAATGATATTGCTAGATATATAAGTTTACAACTTGAACTTGAGCTTTGCCCAGTATCTGAAGAAATTTCTGAATAAATTCTGACAAAGGTTAATTAAATTTTATTATCATCAATTAATTTAATTGATTTTTTTTTTTTAATGATATTAATTAAGATTAATTAAAATTAGATTTTATTAACAATAAAATTAATGAAGGGAGTGGTGTAGAAAAGATGGAAATGGTTGACAAAATTAATGAGGATAATGAAATGATTGTAGAATCAATCAAGGTAATATATACAATAGTATTTTATATTTTAAATATATATTAATAAATGGTTAATCAATAAAATTTTTATTATATATTCAACAGATGAAATTTAACAGTGCAGTGATTGTTTAAATTTTTACTGGTAAAGTTTTGTTATTTATTTATTTTTGATTTTTATTCCTTATTTATAATGAACAAATAATTTACTTTATTAATTAAAACATTAGTTGAAATTAAGGATTATATTAATAATCAAGGTAATTATTATTATTATTTGGTAATTTAAATATTTTAATTACAAAGTAAGACGATAAATAACAAAAATTTTTAAATTAATTTTAGAAATTATGATGATGGATGAATTGTCAATGGATGATTAATTGAAATGATTGATATATTTCATAGTAATTGGTTGACCTTTGCATGAAAAGTTGTACTATACTTTTGTTCTACTATATAATTTTTTTGTGTTCGCAGATAGAAAAACTCAGACTATTGATATAATTTTTTTTCTATGCCTGTATCAAAAAAATTTTTTATTATTTTGAGATGTAGAGACTATATATTATTTTTGATGCAGGTACATATATTATTATGTTTGTAAAGGTTTATCCATATATACACACATATATATATATATATTATTATTATTAAAAATATAATTTAGATACTATGTATTGGAATAAACCAAGAGTCATTGGAGAAGCACCTCCGCCATGTCGTGCACATTCATCAACACTTGTTGATAAAAAGTTATTTATATTTGGTGGAGGAGATGGTTCAGTATACTTTAATCATTTATATATTTTTGATACAGGTATTAAAAAGATGATTGATCATTATTATTGAAAAAAAAACCCCCCAATTGAACAAAGAGTAATTGAAATTTTTTTAGATACATTATCGTGGAGTAAGCCTGAAACAACCGGAGATATACCATTACCACGTCGTGCACATACTACAGCATACTATAATAATAGCATTTATGTGTTTGGTGGTGGAGACGGTGCACGAGCACTCAATGACGTTCACATGTTGAATGTATCTGATTTAAACAACTTGGTGTGGAAAAAAGTAGAACCTAGTGGACGTGCACCAATTTCTAGGGGATACCATACTAGTAATTTGGTTGGAAGCAAGTTAGTTGTTTATGGGGGAAGTGATGGACTCGAATGTTTTAGCGATGTTCATATTTTGGATTTAGGTAATTAATCAATTAATAATATAGCATTAATAGGAATAATAATAATAATAATAATAATAATAATAATAATAATAATAATAATAAAATGTCATTTATTTATTTAATTCACAAATAGAAAAAAATAAATGGATCCAAGTTCATAGTGAAAAATTTTATAAAAGGCTTTCACATACATCAACTAGAGTTGGATCATATTTATTTATTATTTGTGGTCATAATGGCACACAATATTCATCTGATTTGTTGCTGCTGAATTTAGGTATTTTCATTCATTCATTCATTATTTATTAAAAATATATATAAATAAGATTCATGATTAATAATGATAATAATAATAATAATAATAAAAGTTACAATGCAATGGGAAAGTCGTAAAGTTTATGGAACACGGCCAACTGAACGCGGATATCATTCATCAGTTTTGTACGATTCAAGGCTTTTTGTATTTGGAGGATACGATGGACAAACAGTATATGATGATCTATATGTTTTAGATTTATCAGCATGTGCTTATTTACCTCAAATAATCAATTTCGAACTACCTGAGATATATAATAAATGATAGTATCATATCATCATTTATTGTTGTTATTATTATTATTATTATTATTATTATTTAATTCCCCCAAAAACTCTGACTTTATACATTCCTTAGAGGAATAATATAATCAATTAATATTAATTTCTATTTGTATAATTAATTTAGTTTTTATTATTTTTTTTTTATGTAATGAAAAAAACGACTGTCTACCAACTGCAATTTAAATTTGGTTTAAATTCAGTTCCAGTTTTGTAAAGTTGGATTTAAAATCGTGTTGATTATAATTTATCTATGCAGAAAAGTAGATTAACTATTAACTATTATAATTCTTATTATTAACATCAATCAAATAATAAGAATATTAATGGATATAAAAGAATAAATGAAAAATGTATGAAACGTGATAAATAAATAAAAAAAAATTGTGAAAAAACAGAACATTATTCAAGGGTAAGTGGGAAGAAGTTTAACTTGAGTCTCCCGCTTGATCCATGGCACTTTTATTTATTGGATGCTTTGTTGAACAGGCCATCATCACTTGTATTCCCCTAAAAAGAATTGTGACTTTTGGTAATGGATAGAATTTCAAATAGTCACAATATTCCAATATCACTTTTATTTCTGACCAGAACCTCTAACTTGTATACGGCCTCTTTGAAATAGTATTTGTTGCGGGGATATTACCAGCACTGGAGAGATTCGTAAGGAGGGAGGATTTTTTTTTGATTTTTACGCACGTTTCAACGTTTCTCATCATCATTCACCTGTCTTAGTTGAGATCATATCAAAGATGTTATTAAATGATGACGAAAACCTTTAACGTTCATTTACAGTGTGGAACATTCAATTCCGGAATTAAAAAATTATTCATTACTTCACAACCAATGATCAAAATCACATGTAATTTTAATATATGAAAGTTGGAAAACAAATGTAAATTCTTTATTATTATAATTTTTTTTAATAAGGGATGCGTTCCCCATTTTTTTCAATTACAAGTTCACAACGCCTTTTCATAGAATCCACTAAATTACTAAGAGTGGAATTTGGAATTTTTTCCCATTCCTCCTTCATAAATTTTTTTAATTCAGTCTGGTCTTTTGGCATCCGTTTCTCAAAGTTAGTCTTAACAATACTCCAAAGGTTTTCAATTGGATTCAAGTCAGGACTATTGGAAGGCCAGTCCATAACTTGCAGCACATTCTCAGCAAGAAATTCTTTAGCAAGTTTACTTGTATGTTTTGGGTCATTGTCTTGCTGGAACCGCCATCTACTCCCCAAAACCTTTTTAACCTCAGGAATATGGTCACGAAGGATATTCACATAAAATTGAGCATCCATAATCTGTGAAAAACAAAATAAACTTGTTTTTCCATTTTTGTAAAATCCACCCCAAGCAAAAATCTTTGTACGATCTTTAGGAATGCGACGAATGGGCCGTTCTCCTTTTTTATGCCAATGTTCTACTGTGTTTCGGAAGAGCTGAAAGGCAGTCTCGTCCGTAAACAAAGTCCTTTCCCAATTGTCATTGAGATGTTTATTTGCCCATTCCACCCGTTTTTCTTTATGAGCAGTGGTAAGCATTGGGGTTGCAGTAGGAAGATTTTTTTCATACCCCATATTAGCCAAGTGCCTTCCTACAGTAACATGTGATATCTCCACACCCGTTTGAGACAGTTTTGTGGCCAATGTCCTAGTTGAAAGTGAAGAATCCTGGCAAATGTATTTCCTTAAATGACGTAATGCACTATTTGACATTTTCCAGGGTTGAATATTACCACTAGCACATTTTGTAGTACCAGTCTTTTTTAAATTTTTTATATTATCATAGACGGTAGAGGAGGCTATTCCTGTTCTTTTGCAAATTTCTTTGGCGTTTTGGATGCCTTTATTCCAATAAAATTCTATTGTTTGGCGTTGGGTTTCTTTTCTGGCGGTCATTGCTTTGCTATTAGTGAAAAAAAAAATTTTCAAAGTGTTAGTGTTACAAAAATGTATCACAGTTTAGTCACATACCTCATCTTTATTTTTCATTTTAAAATATATAAATTAAGCTTAATTTGGTTAAGCTGTGCAAATTTTAGTTTCCACAAAAATTTTCCGGAATTGAATGTTCCACACTGTATCTATATTTATTATATTTATTAAGCAAAAAATAAATGAATAATTAATTAATAGCTATATATAGGCGGGTTGATTAAAGCAAGTGTTAAAGATTACTCAAGTAATAATAATAACTATTAATGAAACTTAGTATTAATCTCAAAGTGTCAGTTTTGAATTGGGGAATTACTTGTTTTAAAACTAGTACTAGTACTAGTTTAGTAAGAGTTTCCATTTTAGTTATGTTCTATTTTTATTCATTTGTTTTTCTCCCATTAATATTTTGGGATTGTCAAAAATGAACAAGGATGTATATACTATTTTTTTTTGGATGCATGACCACACTATGCAAGGCAAGTATTACTAAAAGTTCAGTAAAGTAAAGTGGGTGGAACTTATTACTGGGCCATTCAGATCGTCCTATTATACAACTGTAGCAGTTTACCCCACTGAGTTCAGGCCAATGTGTTAGTTCATAGTCATTGAAAGTCCAGTGAATTATTATTTTTTTCGAAAATTAATAAAGTGGGTGGAACTTTTTACTGGCTGCCCTTCTTTGGAGGAGTGATCCCACTCAAGATGGCTCATGTGTTGGCTTATGCCTGTTTTACTCAAGGTAGCTTTGCTTAGTCAATTATTTGGCTAATGAAAATCTTTTTTTCATTTTCTTATTTTTAGATACTTTCACCACAACAAAAAAGAAAAATTCAATATGCAACAAGGCAAGTCTTCTTTACTTAAAGTGGGGTATTACGTGTTTACTGGCTGTGCCCACATGATGATATTGATATTGAAAAAAAGAGACAATTGATTCTACTTACAAATTGAAAGATAATGATGATGAAAAGAGGTGATTGATGGTCACATAACAGCTCTATCATATTTATTTTATTGGATACTATTCTTTATGCATAATATTCTTCATTGATTCATTGACGATCTTCAAAGACACGTGACAATGAAGTTTTAAAAAAGTGACTTACACTATATTAATATTAAATTAGTAATAAAACGACTCAAGGCGGAACCTTTATTATCTTAGGTTAGGAATCAAAGGT